CTCATATCTGACCAAGCTTCAAATAGCATAGACAATTGGTTTGATATTATATTCCAAACAAGTGCAACTTTGTTCAAAAATTCCTTGGCAGAAGTGATGCTTTAGTAAAGGCATTTTGCTAATCTTCAACAGCCCTTACTTTAAGAGGCAAAAATTTGAGTTCTTCAGACATTTGTCATAGACGTTTTTTCCTCTCTCCAGTATTACTTAAATTAAAGTTCAGCTTGTTCTTATATTCTCTTAGGGAACTACTTTTTCCGATAGTTTGTATTAACCTATTTTTGTATTGTTATTATAAAGCTTTTCAAGGGCTTGGAAGCTTTTGATCGCAAACCTCCGGAGAAGTCAATAGTTCAAAGAGTCGCAGATGCATATGAGATGTTAGGCTTACTTGAAGAGAAAGAAAGGGTACTTGAAAAATACAAAGATATCCCTACCAAGACAGAAAAAGGTCATGAGAAATCTACGCAGGCTTCATCAAAAAGAAAGAAGAATTCTGGTCAGACTTTCTCTCTCTCTCTCTCTCTTTCCCTCCCCGCCCCAATAACCACTTCCAGAGTAGAATTTTGTATTTGTAAGGTCAGTCTTTTGTGCACCTGGAACTTGCCCTCGGACAGTGTAGCGAAGAGTTTACTGCTGAATATGAGAAACTTTTATTCTTTCATTTCTCAAGTTAAATATTCTGCTGTCTGGATTTGATGGGAGACTCCTGCATGTATGCCTAGTAAGATAGTAATATGTGTTTTCTTTGACCCTGCTGGTTTTGGTGGTTTCCAGGGCGGAGGAAAAAGGCATCAACTTAAGATAACCTTGTCGGCACTACAGATGGCACAGAAATTATGAGATGAGGACGAGAAGAGTGTAAGTTTTTCTTCCCAATTTTGGAACTGGGAAATTTTCTTGGTTCATTGGTCAACTACTGCAACAGGCTTTAGAGTTTTCCCTGGTTGCAAAATCAGTGTTCTTTGTCATGCTTGGACGAGAGGAAGGATCCAAGGTCAACAGTAAATTGCCAACTACTCAACAGTCAAACTCGCTTATCCTTTCAAATCTAGTGATTGTCAAACAATGTAAATTATATGGTTTGAAAGAACATATTAAAATTTGATAATTTAGGAATTCTAGAAGTAAGGAAAGAAAATTTGCACTAATATACGCATCTTTGGATTTCAAGCTTTAAAAGGGTAAACACTACTGGATAAGCAAGACTATGAAGTTGATTACCCTCTGATAAGTCTATAACATGGACAAGATTTAGGTCTTTTTGTGTGTGTGTGTGTGTGAAATTCGTTAAATTTCCTTCTAAATGATGTCATATATCCAAATGTTTGACTAATCAGTGAGAAATTATAATTATTTTGGGGAAATTTTACTTACATGTCTTTTAGTTTCAGTTTTTTTTGGTACATTACATTTTATGGGTTTTTTTTTCAGTTAGTACTATCTAAATAAATATTTATTTTTACAAGGGGTTAGGTTATTAATTTTGTTTAGTAAAATTATAAAAATATCCTCAAATGTGAATAAATAGGTTAATTTCGAATTGAACAGGTTTTGATAATTTTATTTAGTAAAACTAATAATCTAATCTTTTATGAGAACATAGGTTATTCACAAAGTATTAATTGAAAAAAAAATTATCATTTACTAGAAAAGTAAAAATGGATTTTATCATTTTGGTGGAGAATTTAACTAATTTTGCATAAGAAACTCCACCCAAGTCTTATAATTGCGAACAGATCCATAAGAGCAGCGATTTTTTGGCCAATTGTTTGATAAATTAAAAAATAATGTTGAAAAATTAAGTGTTGAAATTTTATTTTATATAATTTAAGCACTAAATGAATACTACAAAAGCTCCACAGGTGAGCCCTATATATATATATATATATATATATATATATATATATAATATTAGAATTTAAAAAAATTAAGAGAAATGAACACATGCTAAAAGATAAAAGAATATAATATTTAATGTAATCAAATTTCTTTAAATACCCTAAAAACGAAAGAATAGTTTATTAATTTTTTTGTAAATGAGTCCCGAGATATATAGACGCCTGACTATTATGTTTCCAAATAAAGAAAAAAAAATTTTAATGTGTGACTCGTAATCATAGGCTCCTGTTATGAAACGGGGCTCAGAATTTTAACCCGGACCTAGCCTCTCTCCTCTTGTTCACTAATATGGCTTCGCAAATTTGCCTCTATCTCTCAAACCAAAGCCCCTTCTCCTACAGATACAAGCATACCCATTCCTCTACGAACTGCCCTTCCTTCAAACCCAAAGCTCGCCAACGCTTTCAGGAAAACAACAATATTCCCAACAAAGACCCACTGCTACAACCACTTCCCTTGAGCAAGAGACGGCTGAATTTCTCAGCTCTTGCGCTAATCTTCAATGGGGTTTTGCAAGACATTTCTAAAGCTTTGTCTGACAAAGAATTGGAGCTTCAGAGATACACCGATGTCGATGAGGGTTTCACTCTCCTCAGACCTTCTTCTTGGATCAAGGTACTTACTTATTTATATAGTCAAAATGGGAAAGTTTAAATGGAAAAATATTCTACATTAATTCTAACAACTGTTATTTTATTTTTCTTTGCATGTAATAACGGGGTGGGGGGCTAAGATTGAGAAAGCAGGGGCAACTGTGTTGTTTGAGGAGGCAAACAAGGGAAGTAACAATGTTGGGGTTGTTGTGAACCCGGTTCGTTTAAACAGCCTTGGAGAATTTGGTACTCCTCAGTTTGTGGCTGATAAGCTTATACAGGCTGAAAAACGCAAGGTAACAAAACAAATTCTTTGACCACCAATTCATTCTTTTTTATCACCGTCAGTGGTTCCATTCCCATTCTTCCTGAGGAATTTTATTTTTATTTTCAACTGACCCCAAATTCATCGTATCCATCTTCTAGAGGTTTTTTAGCAATTAATTTGATTAATGGCGTCTAAATCTAATCGACCATGACAAATAATTGCATGTCAATAATATGCTAGTGTTTTGTACTAGAAAAACAAACAATGTTGCCTTGATGTGAAAACTAGGCAGGGCAAAGATAGATAAGCACCAATCAACTTGATGGATACAGGAGAATTGCCACTGCCTGATTAGAATTTCTTTGCTTTGCCTAGCACTAGGAGAAAATACTAGTAAGTATTCATCATTTATCAAATCAGTAATGTATATTAAATTTGTTAAAATTTTCAATCATCATCATTGTTTTTTTATCTTTTTTTATCAAAAACCATATTTTCTAACAAAAAGTACTTGCCAGTTGCATGATGCTATAATTATGATAGTTTTTCAATCATCATCAATTTTTTTTTAATCTTTTTCTTTCTTTGCGTATGTGTGCCAATATGTAGGCATGCTTTTGTCTAATTGCCCTCCCATAATTGAGCTAAATCAAAATTAGAAGAAAAAAAAAAGGAAAAAAAAAAGAACCCTTCTTCTTCACAGCTTAAATGATGGCAATGCTACATGAAATTTCCTTGTGTTGAGGACGGCTTGATAATAGTTGAGCTAAATGCTCAAATTGGGATTAAACGTTTGAGTGCTTTTTTAATTAAAGGTCAAACGTTTCAATTATAACAATTAAGGGTCAAACGTTTTTTATTTTTTATAATTAAAGGTTAAGTTAATAGGTGGATGGAGCGTGTATCACACGCGACAGAAAATCACATAAGCTGATGACATGGTATGTTCGGAAATGTTATTATACATCATGTTGTTAACATCATGTTGTAAAATGTAGTGTTACATGTCATAGTTTAAAATTTAATTGTTACATGCCATTTAGAAATAATTGTTATACACCATGTTAAAAATGTTGTTATTATACGTCATATTGAAAATGTAGTTATTACAAGCCTTGTTGAAGATTTAGTTATTACATGTCATGTTGAAAAATATAATTACACGTTATGTTGAAAAATATAGTTACACAGCATATTGAAGATTTAGTTGTTATATTTCATGTTAAAAAATTTAATTGTTACACGTCATGATGAAAAAGTTATTGCATGTTATAATTTAAACTGTTTTAGCTTGATAGAAAAGATTTTTTGACAAAATTACCTTTTCGTATTTTACATAATAGGTCAACGTCCATGTCATGCACATGTCTTACATACGTTAGACACATTCATCTTAGCCTTTAATTGTAAAAGAGCTGAAAATGTTTGGTCTTAAGTTGACAAAAATCCTACGATTTTAACCTTAAATTGAGCATTTAGTCTAATAGTTGAAGATATATTGCAACTTGAAGTACTTGCCTTACCTTTTCCTTAGGGGCCTTATGGTTTCTTCCCATTTGACTACTTTCCTTTCTCTATTTCATTTATTCTAGTTCAAGAGTATATGAAAAAATTGTTGGGAAGTTAAGGTGATATTTGACCCATGTATAATTTGAAAAAAACGATTTGCAACATATTTTACATCTACTTGGACTGAAACTTTTGAAATGATGAAGTACAAGACTATAGTAGGTTTACTTATTATATGTCATTTAGTTAGATACCTTTGATTGGTGCAATGTAATTATCCAAGTCTAAGCAATACTGGTCCAATAACATTTAAGTTTTAACCTACGTGACTTTCAAAAGCTTAAGCTTTGGTTGTTAGTAGTAATTGACTAAGATTCTTATATAGATTTTAACAATCACATTCACATTTGATGTGGGATAGGTATCGCAATTCTATTCACTCAAGTCCTTAATGCCTTGATCAAGGTCACACATTAAATCATAATCAAGGCTCACTTCATAAGATCAAGATCTCACCAGTGTAATGTGGAAGTCCACATCGGACCAGTAAATGCTTTGATACCAATTTTGTTACAACTCATCTCAGGCCATGACATGCAAAAAGCCTAGCAAGCAAGTCCACTCGACCCAAGCAAAGCTCCAATACCAAATCCATTTGAATAACCAAACATGACATTTAAGAGAGTGCTTTATCTCAATAAATATGCATGCATATATAATTATAGTCTAAAGTATATTTCTTTTGAAAATAAAATTTTTAATATTTTTCAAATGCATGTATATGCAAAAAATCATCAAAACCAAATAATTCGTTAGTTTGTATATCAACATATAGTATGCTAACCAATGGTCAAGTATAATCATTTATTAAAATATGTTTAATCAAAACAAAATATGACTCAAATTTAGTGAATTGACTCAAGAAAAAGTGGGAAACCTTTATGGGATGCCTCTACCAAGTGCTAGCAAAGAGAAGACTCTCTTAGTAAGCCAATTAAAGATATAAAATCTCAGTGAGCATACACAATAGGGGAACAAGCCAAATAGAGAAATTTTTGAATAAATATATTTACATAAAACATGTCACTTTTTAAATCAAATTTAAGATCTGATCAAATATATTTAAAAAGAGGGTTATACATCTATTAAAATGCTAAAATTATTTTCAAACTTCATTAGAAACTTAGTTTAAGGTTGCCTAAACTCACTCCTCAAAACGATCAAAATACCAAAAGTAATATAATTTCTGTTGCAGGGATCAATCGTCGTTTGATAAAGGGTCGGTCCTTCTAAGATAGAATACTTCCTTAGATATTCTACTAGCCAGGGATCGACCCTTTGGTCCTCAAGGGTCGATCGTTGCACTTTCAAATTTCAAAATTCAGCTTTAAACCTTTTAATTTTACTTTATTTACATTGAAATCAATTCTTTTTTGCAATCATTCAAATTTAAAGTTTCAAAATACCAATGGTTTTACATTTGGTAAACCAAACATATTTCTGTCAAAGAATTTGATCTAATCAATTCCACAATTAATTTTCAAGCATACATTATAAAAATATAACTCAATTATAATAATGTGTGCATTCCAAATAAGCATGTGAGCAAGCATAGTTGAGTATAACTTTTATAAATTACTACTTAAGAAATTAATAACCTCGATTAAATAATATTTTTTATTGGTCTCGACTTGGGACTAATGTGATAAATTAATAATTCGCTTTATCAGATAATACATCTAAAGAAAAACACATAAGCCCCACTTGATATATAAAATAATAATCTTTTTACACTTCAAAATTATATATCTACATGACTCAATTCGGAGGTCTTTGTAAAATGACTCCAACGCTACTTGTTTCTTCTTGAAATTAATGTTTCTTTAGACTTCATTTCTAACTTTTCTTTGTGCATTAAGAAGATTTGGTGTATTCTTTATATTGTAAGAGAAACTTATGCAATGTGATTGTTGCTTTGAGTGCATCTTTGCGCAAGATAGGCTCCAGTACCAAAGGTGATGCCAAACGACTAATTTATACATCAAATAAGCATCAAAAAAGCTTAATTGATGTATAAATTAATCAATTACTAATTTATTGATTTAATAATATCTCAATTAATTAATAAATTTTCATGGTTTCAAGGGTATTAAATTATAAAGGTTTAACTGTATAAAAACAATCATTTAATACAAGTGGTCTAAATATGATTATGCATTAATCCAATATCTAAGTGTATAAGGTGCATGTTTGTTCGTGTTAAGGCTCGTGGTCAAAATCCAAAGGTGCTAAGGCACCTAACAAGGTCAAAAGGTGCGAAGGTACTTAATAAAGTTTCAAAGGTGCTATGACACCTAATAAATCACATCATTAATTCACAATCATTGTGAAAATCTTAACTATTTTCATTTTATTTTCAAGTCATTTTGAAACAAAGTTTTTCAATCATTTGAAAAGCTTGTTCCCCATGAAAACGCACATACACACACATGCGCACGCATACACATTGATATTTACATACATATATGCATTACAAAACATTTCAATCAAAACCTTTGGCATCAAACACATTCTATCAATCATCTAAATTTTCATGCTTTAATAAGCCTCTAAACATACTTAGCTATACCTAAAATAATTTTTAAACACATATCTACTCACAGTACTTTCCAAGCACATGCAACCAATCAAACCTCTCTCAGCACGACAAGTTGAAATTTTCAACAGCACTGAAGTTAACAATCGATCATTAATATTGTCATAAATATTCTAAAAATTCGTAATATTTAAATATTCATTTTCAAATTTAACTTATTTTCATTTAATTTCAATAATATTTATCCATCTTTCTTCCCAACTTCATACTTATTAAATAAATAGCTTACTTTACCTATTATCTTTCCTTGGTAAGCATTTTATTGGAGGGATTTAGCCAAAACGTTAAAAATTTAATCAAATATTCTAATTTTAGAGAGAAAAGAGCTAAAATCTTAAAATCCATGATTTTTAGAGTTGAAATCATTTTATTTAGCACTTAGAATCCAAAGTTTGATAATGAAGCTTTAAGGGTCTTAAGAGGACAAGATTTTAAGAGAAAATGGGAGCAAAAATGAAAATGAAAGAATGATTGAAAAATGGTTTGGGTTTGGGGCCTTTAGGGTTTTTTTTTTTTATCAAAGTGTTTAAGGATTGACCCTTAAAAGGGTAGAGGTCAATCCTTGCCATCAAAAATTTTGTTTTTGTGTGTTTTGGGTTAAGAAATCGACTTTTTAAACGGTAAAGGTCTATCCTTACAATCTAAAAAACAATTTGCTAAATTTTTATGTTTAGCGATTAACCCTTTTTGCATGAGAATTATGATAATGTAAGATAGATCAAGATTATACCTTTTGAGGACAGATACGTGGAAGATTGCATGGATACTAGAAAGGTCTGGGGGAAGTGCTAGTCGATTTGTTACACTCCAATCCTCTCAAGCATCTCAAAAGGGCTTATGTACCTCGAGCTTAGCTTCTGTTT